AATAAAAATTTCATAAGCTCATTGCTGTTGAGTCTATTCTGACTCATAGCAACCCTACATGACAGAGTAGAACTACCTGATAGGGTTTTCAAGGAGTGGCTGGTGTATTCAAACTGTTGTCTTTTTGATTAGCAGCTAATCTCTTAACCATTTCTCCACCAGGGCTCCAAAAGTCTCATTGATGTCACAGTACTTTGATGAGTGAAATTCATGACTAGAACTCCTATTTAGAAATGTATACCTTTACACAAATGTCACCCAATAGAAAGAGCACATGCATGACAACCTGTGTGTGGAAATTTTATATCTGTTGAAAAAGCAGAGATTTAAGAAAGGAAGCTAAATATTAACATGCAAAAATAGGAGAGAAACAGATAAACACAAGATGCTATGGGAACACTCTATTAACAGACTGGCTTTGGGTGATACTGTGAAAGCATCTCACTTATGTGGTTTCTTTGCTTGTAAAGAATTAATGTATATCTGAAAGTATCTTGTTTATTAGTCTATTCACTTATTTATAGTATATTTATTTGTGTCACTCCTTTGCAGAAAACCATCCAGTTGGTCCCTCAACAACACTATGAATAAAAGCCAGTTCTTCACAATGACCAACAAATCATGAAGTCATCAGGCCCCTGTCAGCTTATCTGAAGTCATAGAATCCCACTTTCCCCTTGACCACTACACTTCTACCACACAGGCCTTCTTTCTCCTCTGTGGAACACTCAGAATTTATTCCCAGGTTAAACCCTTTGCACAGGTTGTTCCTTCTGCCCTGGCTGTCCTTCCAGTTCACCTTAGCTTGGCCCACTCCTTCTTGATCGTCAGATTGCAGTTTAAGGTCACCTTCTCAGAGAGGTCTTCCCTGATCCCAGATCCAATGTAGCTGCTCTGTGTGATAGCATCCTCTGGGAATTTTCTCTAATGTAAGATCCCACTCAAATGTAAGCTCCACAATTGCAGGGACATTGAGTGCCTGTGATGGCTAAGGTTGTATATAAACTTGGCTGGGCCATGATTCTCAGTGGTTTGGCAGTCGTATGATGTTGAGGTCACTTCCAAGATGAAAGCTGATATAATGTGATCACCTCCATTATGAGATCCGTTATGTGTAGCCAGTCAGTTGAAAGGGAGTTTCTTCAGGCATATGACCTACATTGAATATAATTGGACATTCTGGCAAGGCTCAATGGCTTTTGCTTGCTCTGGATCCTGCAACTGACTCCTGTTCATCTAACCTCCAGTTCTTGGGACTTGAGCCTGCAGATTACCTGCAGTATTGCCTGCCAATCTTGGAATTCATCAATCTTTGCAGCCTGTGTTCAAGAGCCCTACTCACTGACATAACGATCTTGGGTTCCCAGCCTCTGTGGCTACATGAATCAGGAGAAACCTCTACAAGTGAGTGAGTCATTTTCCTGATATAGATCTCTCATTGTATATATTTATACACTTTGCTGATTTTCACTCTCTAGAGAACCCAGTCAAAGACATTTTGGTACTGAGAGTTGTTCTAGAGAAACAAAATTATAAGGATGAGTTTTCTAAATTGGTTCTCAAGTCTGGTTAGTCTTAAAGATGTTGATGACTCTGCTTCCAGTAGTATAGTGGGCACTGCTTATCCATGGCATGAGGTGGCAACACAAATACAGGAAATATCACCACCAACATATCAGGTATTGGTGAAGGCGAGATTCTGGGTGATTGCATCTGTGATACTTTTCTACAATTTTTTCATAATGAGAAGTGTAAGGAAGCTGGTTAGTTGGTCCTAGTTTCACTAGACAAACTCGTGAAAGAGGTGAAATCAAGGCTTCAGAGTGAAAATTCAAGTGCCACATTAACCTGTCCAAAGTATGTAAGACGTAATTTTGCCGTCCTTGCTTATAACGAGCATTCTGGTTGTATTTCTTCTAAGACAGATTTGTTAATTCTTTTGGCAGCCCATGGTATATGAAATATTCTTAGCTAACAACACAATTCCAAGGTGTCAATTCTTCTTTGGTCTTCCTTATTCACTGTCCAGCTTTCTCATGCATATGATGCAATTGAAAATACCATGTCTTGGTAAGGAGCACCTTGGTCTTCAAGATGACATCTTTGCTTTGCAACACTTTAAAGAGGTCTTTTGGAGCAGATTTCCCCAATGGAATGAATCTTTTGAATTGTAGACTGCTGCTTTCATGGATGTTGATTGTGGATTCAAGTAAAATGAAATCCTTGACAATGTCAGTCTTTTCTCTGTTTATCATAATGTTGCTTATCAGACCAGTTGTGAGGATTGTTATTTTCTTTATGTTCAGGTGTGCTCCATACTGAAGGCTGTGATCTTGGATCTTTATCAGTAAGTGCTTCCAGTCCTCTTCACTTTTAGTAAACATGGTTGTGTCATCTGCATAACGCAGGTTGTTAATGAGTCTTTCTCCAATCCTTATGCCCCATTCTTCAGCATACAGTCCAGCTTCTTTGATTATTTGTTAAGCATACAGATTAAGTAAGAATGGTGAAAGGACACAACCCTGAAGAACACCTTTCCTGATTTTAAACCACACAATATCCCCTTGTTCTGTCCAAATAACTACCTCTTGATCTACGTACAGGTTCCTAATAGGAACAATTAAGTGTCCTGAATTCCCATTCTTTACAATGTTATCCATAATTTGTTATGATTCACTCAGTGGAATACAGTTGCATAGTCAATAAAACACAGGTAAACATCTTTCTCGTAGTCTTTGCTTTCAGCCAGGATCCAATTTACATCAGCAATGATATCCCTGGTTCCATGTCTTCTTCTGAATCTGGCCTGAATTTCTGGCAATTACCTGTTGATATACTGCTGCAGCCACTTTTTAATGATCTTCAGTTACATTCTACTTGCGTGTGATATTAATGATATTGTTCGATAATTTCTGTATTCAATTGGTCATCTTTCTTGAGAATAGGAATAATATGCCTATATAATACAACTTGAGCCTTCGTAAGAACAATTGATGGTCTGTTCTGCAGTCGACCCCTGGCCTTATTCTGAGTGATGAAATTGAGCTTTTCCATTGTCTCTTTCCACAGATGTAGTGGATTTGATTCCTGTGTATTTCATTTGATGAGGACAACTTGTATAGTTGCCAGTTATGTTGGTGAAAAGATGCACTTACAATGAAATAGTTGTTGGTCTTGCAGAATTCTAACATGCTGTCTCTGGCATCATTTCTAACATTATGGCCATATTTTCCAACTACAGATCCTTCTTCTTTGTTTCCAGCTTTCATATCACAATTTCTAGTAATTATCAATGCATCTTGATTGCATATTTGATCAATTTCAGAATGTAGAAGTTGCTAAAAATCTTCAATTTCTTTTTTTGTCATTAGTGGTTAGTGTGTAAATTTGAATGTTTGTAGTATTAACTGGTCTTCCTTGTAAGCACATGGATATTATTGTATCACTGACAGTGTTGTACTTCAGGATAGTTCTTGAAAATTTCTTTTTGATGATGAACACAACACCATCCCTCTTCAATTTGTCATTCCTGGCACAGTAGACCATATGATTGTCTGATTCAAAATGGCCAATGCAAATCCAGTTCAGCCTTCTAATGCCTATAATATAGATGTTTATGTATTCCATTTCATTTTTGATGACTAGTAATTTTTTGGATTCATGCTTCGTACACTCCATGGTCCGATTAGTAGTAGATGTTTGTAGCTGTTTCTTCACATTTTGAATTTTGCCACAACAGCAAATGAAGGTCCCAAAAGCTTGACTCCATCCTAGTCATTAAAATAGACTCTACTTTGATGATGCAGCTCTTCTCCTGTTGTTTTTTGAGTGCCTTCCAATCTGAGGGGCTCATCTTCCAGCACTACAACAGACAATGTTCCACAGCTATTCATAAGCATTTTACTGGCTAAAACTTTTCAGATGTAGATGGCCAGTACCTTCTTCCTAGTCTATCTTAGTCTGGAAGCTCAGCTGAAACCTGTCTATGAAAGGTAACCATGTTATTATTTGAAATACCGGTGGCAAAACTTCCAGTATCACAGTGACATGCAAGCTGCCACAGTCCAACAAACTGACAGACACGTGGTGGATAAATAAGTAGAGGGTCAGTGAAAAAGAGGAAGACCTTCAACAAGATGGATTGACACAGTAACGGCAACAATGGGTTCAAGCATAAGACCAACTGTGAGGACGGCTCAGGCTTGGGCAGTGTTTTTTTCTGTTGTACATAGGGTCGCTGTGTGCTGGAACCGACTGCAGCGCACCTAACAACAACACATATAAACTTACAAAAAAAGGCCATTTCTATGTTTTTAAGGAAGGAGCCCAGGTGTATGGTGGTTAAGTATAGGCTGTTAAACAGAAGGTCATCAATTCAAACCCACTAGCCACTCCAGGGAAGAAAGATGTGACAATAGACAAGGGAAAAAAGCTACCATTTTGACTAAATAATAATACCTGTGAATTAAGTTTTAGACATGTAGTGTTACATTGGATTCTCTTCAGATGAATTTAAAATAAAATAATTTGGACACAATTTATAATTAAATCACATATGAGGCTGTACTACTGTCCATGTTGATATTAACTTGAATTTATATTCATCATGGAAGACCAAATTTTAAGTGCTGCAGGACTACAAGAAAGGTCATTTGGTGGAGCCTGTTTGTCCAGAGAGATAGTCATCTGCCTCAAGATTTTTTATTTACTAATTCACTCAAGTTGTCCCTATCCTTAAATTTTCTTGACAAAGACAAGGGTTCATTATTTGGCACAGTATTTTTTCCTCTTTGTGTATTAATGCGTACCTAAAATTAATCAAAACACATTTATATTTTCATGCTATAAATGACCTTTATTGAAAAAGAATAAGAGTTCCTGAAATAGAGATTGTTTTGGAAAACCCAGGATGTAGCACTAATATCCTGGCAACCAACTAACTGTTTGTACCTGGTTCTCCAGGGAAATCAACTTCTTATGTGCTGGATTGTCTTCTGCTTCTCAAGGCCAGCAGGAAAGGAGGAATAATATGACCTTCCATGAAAACGAAACAAACTTAAATCCTACATAATTAGACTCTTGGGACTGCGTTAATTTCACCTTTGTAGTACATTTACATTTGAGCAATAAAATGGGGGGGGGGCAGATTTTGGGTTCTGTTGCATTTATTTTTCAGAGACATCTATTACTTCAGCCATTTTTGCAGGATGTGGAAGATTTTTTCTCGTGCTTGAATTAGTTCAGCTGAATCAGTATCCCTACGTTCGGACAAATCTGAACAATGTCCTTCACCTAAAGAGAAAGATAAATGTCAGTATACTTCCATACCATGTATTCAAAGGGCAGATGTTCTTAACCCCCAGCTGTACATTAGAGACGCTTCGAACCCTGTTCAAACCAACCAATACCTGAGCCCCAAACTTCAGAGGTTCTGATTTAGTTAGTCTGGGGTGGGGCTGGGTATCAGTAATTTTCAAAAGCCAGGTAAAAGTTGATTAAAATGTGCAGTTGTAATTAAGAAAGAGAATTAGTTTACTAGTATAATAGGCTTTGAGTCAAATAAATAAGGCTTCTTTGTCAATTAAGTTTGGATAAATATATGATATCAATTAAAATGAGTTACTGTTGGTGTCTATCCAATTTTTCCAAGCTACAAATTCATGAATGCTTCAGGGAATGATGAAGGTAGTAGATTTAGAGAATAAAGTTTTTAGTTTCCTTTTTGTTCAATCCAGGTGTGATAGAAATTAAGTTCCATCTGAGGAAGTTACCATGTCTGAAGCTCAGTGAGTCTTATTTTAGAGAATTTTCCCAGCAGTCTAGTGGAATTGCACAGTAGCAGATCCAAGAGCCGATTGTTCAATTTTCAAAAATTCTACAAGATAGCTGTTAAACCGTGAGCTTGAAATTGGCCATGATGGAAGTATTTACACCATGGAAATCAGGAGATGCTAGAAAACAGGTTTTTTTTTTTTTTCCGTTAGGGAGAATGGGTTAATAAATATATAACATATGAGCATAAGATAAATCAGATGAAATTTGATGGAATCTTAAATATTGGTCAACCCTTTAATTTTACAGATGTGGAACCTATGCCTCAGAGAGGTTAAGTGACTTGTCAAGACAATCACTAGTGGAACTAAGAATTGAACCCAGCTGACCAGCGTGTCTGTCACAGGCTGGTTTATGTAACATATACTGTCAAATATGAGCTCAGGGATTTATAAATAAGCATCTAGCCAAACCAAAAACATGAGAAAATGGAACAAAATGTTTGCCTTAAAGTTGATTCTAACTCATGATGAACCCATTTGTTTCAGAGTAGAACTGTGCTCCATTTGGTTTTCAATGGCAGGATCTTTTGAAAACAGATTGCCAGATCTTTCTTCTGAGGCACCACCAAACTTTCTATTAGTAGCCAAGTGCTTAACCATTTGCACAACCTAGGTATACAAAGCATCCATCCATACAGTATTATTTATTTTTGGGGCAAGATATATTTGGTGTTACCAAAAAATCCCTTGGTGCCAAGTCGATTCTGACTAACTGTAACTCTTTAGGAAAGAGTAGAACTGCCCCATAGGGTTTCCAAGGCTGTAATCTTCATGGAAACAGACAGCATCTTTCTCCTGCAAAGTGACTGGCACATTTCAATGCCAAACATTCTGTTATCATCTGAGCATTTAACCATTGCACTACCAGGGCTCTTTGTTTTCTTTTAAGAAGCTAAAATTATGTAATAACTATGACTCATACAGACAGTGGAGTATTATTCACTTATTAAAAAACAATGAGAAATATTTCTATGTAATTAGATGGAAAGACCTCCAGTGAATATTAGCAAGAGAAACAAGGAAGGTGTAGGACAGTGTACATAATATGCTACCACTTGTTTACAAAGGGATAAGAATATACGATTGTATTTACAAAAAGCAGGAACTGTCATTTTCACAATGTTGAGTCTACCTATCCATGAGCATGGTACGTTTTTCCGTTTATGTAGATCCCTTTGGGTTTCTTGCAGTAGTGTTTTGTAGTTTTCTTTGTATAGGACTTTTACATCCCTGGTTAGATTTATTCCTAAGTATTTTATTTTTTTAGGGGCTATTATAAATGGTATTGTTTTTCTGATTTCATTCTCATCGTTCTCCTTATTGGTGTATAGGAATCCAACAGATTTTTGTATGTTAATCTTATATCCTGCTACTCTAATGAATCTTTCCATTAGTTCCAGTAGACTTCTCGTGGAGTCTTTAGGGTTTTCTAGGTATAGTATCATATCATATGCAAACAGGGACAGTTTAACTTCTTCATTACTAATTGGATGCCCTTTATTTCTTTTTCTTGCCTTATTGCTCTAGCTAGAACATCCAGCACAGTGATAAATAGGAATGGTGATAAAGGGCATTCTTGTCTTGTTCCTGTTCTCAAGGGGAATGTTTTCAGCCTCTCTGTATTAAGAATGATGTTGGCCATTGGTTTTGCATAGATGTCTTTTATTATGTTGAAACGTTTCCCTTCTATACCTATTTTATTGAGAGTGTTTATCAGGAATGGGTGTTGGACTTTGTCGAATGCCTTTTCTGTGTCAACTGAGATGATCATGTGATTCTTTTCTTTCCTTTTATTTATGTGGTGGATTACGTTGATTGATTTTCTAATGTTGAACCATCCTTGCATACCTGGTAT